TGGGTGTCTTCAGTTCATCTCCCACCACCATGCCCGGTCCCTGCGTTGGTGGCCCACCTGTAAATAGCATTATTCTGGCCCCTGTGTTTGGAAACGTGCCCTAAAATAAAAATAAGGCCTTACATTAGAGAGCGGGGAGAGTAAAAGGGTGTTTAAAAAGGACAACACTTTATTTAGAGGAGCATCTGCTTGCTCTTCTGCAATATCATTAGGAACCCATCGCTGTTTGAGGCAGCTCTGACAAACAGCAACGCATTTCCTGTCAGGCACCCTCTGGTTTAGGCTCAAGCTACATCAAGCTTCACAACAGGAAGCAGGCAGTTTCTGTTCTTTCTACATATATCTCAGATGACCCTCAGAGAAACCCAGTACATGCAATCAACTCCACGTGGCCATATGCACAAGGATCAGAGACCTTTAAACACCTGCATTTTCCGTAATGTAGTTTACATTTAATGTAAATCCCCAGCCCACTCTGCACCAGCTGGTGCTGACTCTTGTCAAATGCCAGCAGAGACAAAACGCATCGCTGCGTCCCAGTGTAAAGGGGCCACAAACCAAGCTGGACTGGGACCTGCACGTGTCTCAGCAAAGACAGCTCATCTCAAAGAAACAGCAGCAGCAAGAGTACCTCTAACAAGCCAACAGCAATCGAAAGAGCTACTCCAGTGGAACGTAAAGGCCTCTTTCCCTGGGTCACTGGCCATGGGTCCCTTTGCAGTTCTCCCAAGAGGTCTGTTAAATTCATGTCAATCTTATGAACTGGTTGCAGAAACCTGAAAAAATAAAATAAAATAAAATGAAATGTTTTCCTGCTTACAAATCCCTTCAGTTTAAGAGAAGAAAAGTGCCTCTGTTCCTTGCACACTTAAATTGCACTGAGACAGAGTTATCAGAAGCAAAAAGTCATGTGGCACACTCCTACACGTACAAACTTTCCAAGGCAAAATAACAGAACTGACCAAAGCAAGTCATCAGGAACCAATGAGAAAGCAAAAAACACACAAAGCATAGGAAAGGGACTTCACTGGTGATTTTGTATACCAAAATACATTGAAAAAGAGGAGCTGAGGAAGAAAACACCGTGTTCAACAAAGGCAAATACAGCTTCATTGTTCATGGTCACTGCCTGCCTACCAATCATTTTTTGGACTTAATTGGGCAAGGAAGAGAAGGTGATACGTAGAAATATCACTCAAACAAGGTCCCCATTGGCTGGTGAACCAAAACCCTTGCTCTAAACACATACAACCCCTGAGCAATAAATATGGGTTCCAAAGACTACTACCTTATGTTTTTCAAGTAGAAATCCAGCCTGAATGTCAATTACATTTCTTGCAACTGCAAAACCAAGATGCTACAGGAGCCTAAAACATAGCTCTAGTAAATCCCATCCACACATATCCCATGACGGAGGGAAATAACTGTGACAAGACAACACCATTTAAGTCTTCTTACAAAAAATTCCTCTTAGGAAACCTAGGTTTAGAAGTGTGATCCCAAAGGGTCATAAAACATCTTCCCTGATCTTCTGCTGTGTTGATGTAGTACTTACCTGCTTGAAATAGCAGGTTGCTCCTGAGTCTGAAGAGGTCTTCCTTGTTGAATGGGGACAGCTGGCCTTGAAAGCCCAAGCATATCCTACAGAACAGAAGAAAAAAGGGTTAGGAAATTAGGAAATCATCAATAGATCAATCATGCAAGATATAAACATTCTATCTTGGACAAGCTTCTAAACATTCACAATGACAAAAAGACAGAGGAGGCACTGGGAAGGTAATGGCATAACAAATAATAAAGAGCACTGAACCTTCCTTCCTCCCTCAGAGCTTGAAAGACAGCAGTGGTGTCAACAGAGCTAACAGGAACAAGCCACTGGCCTGACAAATGGCAGGACATACCTGTATTTGCTTAGCCGTCAGGTCTTTCGTGCCCCTAAACACGTAGCTCTTGGAAATCCCTTCACAGCTCAGTTCGTGAACCTGGACCATTCTGCCAAAAGTGATAAGCCCCACCAGAGCATCAGCAGGCAGCAGACTCAGGGACATCTGGAGGGACTCCTTCAGCGCCTGCAAGTCCTCCTCTTCCAAGCATGTGTCAACAACATACAGGAAGATCAACGGTGTCTGTGGACCTCGCTGGTGTGGAAAGAAATGGGTTTACTAGGCATGTACACATGCTAGGTGACACTTCTTATCATGACTCCAGTCAAAAGAATAAAATGAGCCCTATCTTAAGCATCTTACGTAAGTCATACTTATTTCCATTATCTTAATTAAAACAAATACATACAAAAGATATCACCAACAAGACAGTTCTGGGGGCTGCAAATTTGCCTATGACTCACTTACCTGCACAATATATTCAATTGTTGAAAACTGAGGCATAAGCTCTGCTGGTTGATTGACTTCAGATATGCCTGCATATGCTGGAGGGAACTGAAAAACAGAACCAAAAATTAGGACAAGGAATTTGCAGGGCAGAAATGTAGGGCCCTTCTCTGCAGTACAGAGGCTGCCCTGCTTGTGATGTGGTTGTCCAATTCTATTTACTACCACCACACCAATCTGATTAATTCATGACAAGAGCCCGGCTTTCCTAATATTGCTGCTTTCCTAAGCACAGACATCGGTGGCAAGCAGTACAGACAGCTACTCACTCACCCCACTCTAAGTGAAAGGCAGGACTAAAGCAGTAGCCATGTGTTAGCAAAAAACTGTTTAACCATACAACATTTTCTAATGGCAAAAGTCTTCCCAAACTTACTAAGTTTCATACTTGGCAAGAATAGTAAATGTCAAGTGCAAAAAGAACCACAATGGAAACACATGTGGAAAAAAAAACAGCTCGCTCTCTCTTTTGTGTGCCTTCCATGCTGGTAAAATCATTGACAAAAATGTTGAAAATAGGCAAAATGTCACATGAAACAGGCTCATTAACAAGTACTCTGGCCTGGGTTCATTAAGGGAAAAAGGCCAAGGGATGAAATCTAGAGAGGTGGAATTTCTGCTCTTTTTAACATCCTTTGCCAGGGCAGGCCATCAATAAAACACTCAATGAAAACATAGGAAGGCTGAGGCTGTTTTCAACATACCTGATTTCTCTGAAAACAGAAGTTACAAGCCCAGAGCTTGGCCCGATAGTCAACCTGGCTGCAGGGAAAAGGCAAGGCATTAGTACAAGCTGTAGGAACAACCTTACAGCCCAGCTTCACAGTTATCTACAGTGCTTCATGGCACTGAGGAAGAAACAAAACACCAGACACTACAGCTTGAATGACAGGGTTGTAGCGATTCAGACTCTTGTTCTAACGTCAGAAAGGCTGTTAGCTCAGCCAGCCTGGCTGCTTCCAGGCTTGCCAGCATGAGCGACCACCAACAGCTCTCTGAAGCTTCGGCTTTAGTAGACAAAAGTTTACGTCTTATTATTCTTTCGCTATGCTTGGGCCTATCTCAGTGATCCCATTGTTTGTATAGCTGCAGCACACAAGTGCTCCAGTCACAGAGCAGCAGGAGCCACCCACCCACATCCTGTATAAACGCAGAACAAACTGCACCGAGTAGTTTACTCTCCTCAGCCCAGTACATACAATAATTGCTAGTGCAGTAAAGCCTGACCATATTCTTATTTCATGGCTTTGATCTCTTCCTACTTCCTCTAACTAGTTTCCTTCCTTTTTCCTCAGCCTGATGCTATGCTCCACGTAAGCATGATCACCATGTGACTTTGGGACAAAGATTTCATCTTAAATTCTTAGGAAAACTGCAAAGATAACCTAGATGCTCATATTGGAGACAACCCACAACTAATAGGATGTGTATAAAACCAGGAAACTAAATGAACACCATGGCCCAGAGGACAATTACAGTATAAGCAGCATCTTTGTTTGTTCATTTCATCGTTTACCGCAAAATTCTCCAGGATGGTAACAGGACTGGCTGTTTCCATGTTACCTTCAGCTTAACAGCCCTCCTGAAGACAATCCTCTCTCCTCAGGTTCTGGCAGCTCCAGCAATGAGCTGGCATTTAACACACCCAGCGTGGTTTTTACCAGACTCACTACAACCACACGAAGAAAGCTGACAAGCGCCAGGCTGAGGAAAAGGAGGAATGAGGCAGATGAGGATAACGCCTCTCTCCCAGCACCCCCAGCCGAGCGCCACGTACCAGAGCGGGTTGAGCACCGCTTTGCAGGTGGGCCTGCTGCACAGCACCGGCTCGTACTGCAGCGGCGGCAGGTCGGGGCGCTCCTTCAGCGGGGTGAGGAGGCAGGCGAGGGGCACCACCATGCGTGTGGCCTCCAGCCGGCTGGAGGGCCAGACGTTCCAGCTGAAGCGCACCCCGTCGCGCTCCTCATTCTGCTGGATGAACTCCAGGTAGGTCGCCATGGGGCTGCAGCGGCTCTGGAAGGAACGAAGCAAAGCACGTTGAGGCAGGTTGGCTAAAAACTCACCAAAACCAGCAAAGAAACACGAAAACCCCACAGTCGATGCCCAAACGTGAGGTGGGCGCTGTTGGAGGCTGTGGAGCCCCCCCCCCCGCCGCCCACCCGCCCTGCCCTCACCTCACCTCAGCGCTCCCCCGGCCGCTGACGCCCGGTCCCGGCAGGCCCCGCTCCGCCGGTAAGGCCAGCTCAGCGGGACGCCGCCTGCCCGCACACAAGATGGCGGCGCCGGCACGCCCCGCCGGCATCTTGCTTAAGGGCACCCGCCCCCCGCACAGTGTTCCGAAAGGGGTGACCACAACAAACGTGGCGGCGGCGGCGTCTGGAGGCCATCTTGGCTAAGGGTAGAGGGCGAATGGAGGGAAATGGGTGCCCTTAGTAAATATGGGGGAGGCGGCGTCCGCTCCCTCACGGGCACTGCTGGGCTGGCTGGGGGGCGGAGGAGGAAGGGGCTGGCTGAGGGGATGACGAAAATTCCCCGTAGCAGCGCACTCGTAGGCGTGGTGTTACGCTTGGGTGCTTTTTTTTTTTTTTTTTTTCCTGTTTTCTGGCCCCTCTGCCAGCGTTAGGTTCACTAAAGCACTTAGCGAGTACCGCGAGCGGGCGCACGGAGCAGAATCCCAAAGCCCCGTGTTCATACACAGGCTGCTACCAAAAATCCCAGCAACAATTTTCCCAATCTGTTTACCTGGAGCAGCCAACCAGCTCAAAAATAGAGGGATGGCGGGGTATAAGCCTCCATCTGTTCCATGTTTAACAACCCCAAGGAGAGCGCTTTGAACTCGGCTTCCTCCCGTCCCCACCCACCCACCAGACCTCCACAGCAGCACCAAGTACAATAATTAACAGCTGGACTTGATGACCTGAGGGGTCTTTTCCAAGCTAAACGATTCTAATCAGCTTTCTGAGGGAGCAAGTGAACGTTTTCAGCAGAAACTGAGACCATCTGTGGCACACCTTGTGGGACACCCTGTTTCAAAGCATGAAATGTCTGGAATCAAGAGGAGACCCTGCTGTCCCCACTCAGTGTGGTTCTCTCCCCAGTACCTGCTCTGCCTGTGGAGGCAAAACAGCAAGCCAGCATTTAAAACTTTTTTCTTTTTCGTCTCAGGGCAGCCCTACCAGGAGGGGACAGCAGATGGCACTCGAACAGCAGCAGAGGAACAACCACCACTCCCCCTCCTGCAAAGGTGAGATGTGTAAGCAAATTAATTAAAAAAAAAAAAAAAATCCAAACAGCCAATCAGCCACAATTTGCTTTAAGCTTGTCATTGTTTTAAACTTTGGACTGTGAAGGCTGGGCACGTTAAACAGTACCTGGCAGCTGTACTTTCTCTCAGTTCACAGTACAGCCTGGCACTGTAGTTAATGTTTCTCTTGGAAACAAAAGCAATCCTGCACTTCACTTCACATTAAAATGGCATTTGGGTGTGACCTCCAACTTGCCTCAGGACTGCTGCTTACCGCTGGACAAGCTGCACACCATAGGGTTCATAGGAACGGGACTGAGCTCTCCAACACAAGAGGTTGAGCATCATCAGATGAACAACCATCGTGCATAACACCTCCAGCAGCAGCGAGAGGTATCAGCAGAGTACGCCTGCTACGTGTGCTCTCTTGTTATGAGGCTAACATAAAGAAAGGAGCAGCTTGTGCTTCCTTCCCAGGGCAAGATGTTTTGGTGGTGATGTGTTTTGGTGTTCAGTACTGCAGCTAGTATAACGTCCTCAAAACATTACATTTCATATCACATTTTAGTGGGGATAGCTTTGCTGGGTAGGAGGAAAAAAAAAATGAAGGAAGCCAGGGAGCAAAAAAGAATATTAATGTTACCTTTTGGTATTTATTCTCTTTTTAAACAGGCTGATAGGTCAGACGGGTTCATGAAGATCCTGGGTGACAAAGATCATCCTTCTTATTTAGACAGATCAGAGATTCCTATTTTACAGGTAGGAATGTGAAATTGCTTTATTTTTCTCTATAGGTCTTTTTTTTTTTCTAAATTTGAGAAGTCTTCTAACAACCGCAATGCTAAGAAGGTTCAGGGACCTGCAAAGATAAGGTCACCTAAACCAGATAAACCCAGTATAAATGAGCCAGAATTTAAAGGGCTTGATAGACCAACTCTTCACTTCCTAAATCTGTTCACTGACAGCAAGCTCTCTGTCCTTTTTCTTATTGCCAGTGAATATGGTCACACCACAGAGTGACACACTTGCATGATAAGATGTGTTGTTTCCCTGAAAGCTGTCTTCTAGCTGAAGCAGAACACAAATAATTTGCGTTATCTCTGCAGCAGCAGGATGCAGACCCTGTTGTGTTAAGTCATCCTTGAAAGCAGCAAGACAAAGGCAATCCCAGCCCCAAACCTCAAACTACCTTTGGCCACATAAAGGATGTCTGAAGCATCCTTTATGCTAAGTCATTTATGTTAAGACTCCTTTCAGTGAAGCATTTTTCTCAGGCTTCAGTGCGCTGAGGGGTTAAAGGCAGCAGAGAAAGAACAAACATATAGTAATTTCACCCCCACATCTCTTTTTTGACAACACTTCTGCCTCTGTGGATAGAGAGGTGCATCCCTGTCACATCAAGCAAGAGACAACACTACGACAAAAGAGACAGCCTAACACCAAAGTCATTCCCCAGATGTGCCAGTTTGTCATCCCAGTTGTCTGCTCCGGTCTAAGACATCATGCCTGGCTGCCTCTGTGTATACACATTCCCTTTATGGGACAGCAAATACTTTTATTTTTTTATTCCTTGCACAGTACCTACCGGCATTAGCCTTCTGCCCACAGTCCACGTTATAAGCAAAGGTGCTTGACCATTGCCCTCCCAACAAAGTGTCCAGGAGGGCTTATCTTCAGATGGAGTTCTGAAAACAGCTCGATGCAGCAGGTCCACTGTTGTGCTCAACCCCAGTAATCATTTCCCAGCACTGTGAGGCTATCACAAAGATACTGGGTGGTTGTGTAGACATCCAGCAAGGCTAAGTCATAGGAAACAAGTTGTACTGGGATCAGGCTCTCTGTGCAATGTTCACTTGTCTACAGTGCCCTGCCCATGAGTACTTCATCCCAGCCCTCTGGTTATTCTGGATGGCAGAGAGCTGGTTGTACCATATACGCACAGTATTTTAACTCCTGAGAAAGATGACTTCTCAAGATGTTGCTTGATTACAGATTAAGGAAGAGGTGATGTAACTAGTTAGCATAACAGTTGGTACAAAAGTCTATTTACTTACAAAGAGTGTCATGCCTCTGATACTGCCAGATATCCGTAGAGAGCTGTGTCTAGTTTCCTCAAAGAACACATCCGTGTTCCAGCATGCCTTGGGCCACCATCAAGGGCAATAGGCTTATTACAACACAATTTATAAGTTATTGCCAATTCATCAGTCCAGAGAAGCACAGAGGAGCCAGGGAGGCCGTGCTTACAAGAAACACAAATTGGCTCCACATCACAGGAAGAGAAGCTCATGCTTTTTGATGATGTGCCAGTATCGTGCCTCTCTCAGATCACAAACCAAGGCCAGGGGCCATATTTATGTACAAACAGCTGTCACTGGCATCTTTGGCAACCCTGAGGGCATTCAGACAGTCTATAAAAGTTTTCCCTGTACCTGTAGTATCAGGCCAGAGGAACTGTTTCTCTTCTGGAAAACACATCTTTACAGAATACTTACAATCAAAATCTCAGCTGACGTGTGTATATAATGCAGCTGCCAGAACACAGCAACACAGATTAGATGATCCTCTAGCCGTCAGATGAAGGAATAAATAAAGATACATCACCAGATAATGACAGCAGTGGAGATAACGAAGCACAAAAATATGTAAGACAAATCAAACAGCGTTTTAATGATAAATTAGCAGGTAAGAAAGATGGTGAAGAATCAGTGAGTTCTATTTAACATATTTAAGATTTTTCCCACATTAGATTTTTAGCTTCCAATTAGATGGTAGCTATCATGGGGAAAAAAAAGCGTCAGCTTTAGGACTTAAGCTCCCATCAGCAGCATTAGTCGGAATGCAAAGTTTGGGATCTCATTCTTGGCAACACTCACCAGCAAGTTTTTCTGATCAGCTGATGACTTATTTTCTCTCATTTTAAGTAAATGTCAGCAGAGTACTCAACACAGTCCTTGAAAGTGACACATCACCACCCAGTTCTATGACATTTTTCAAGTCACACACATTTTTGTACAAGAATGGATCTGTTTTCACTTCAGACTTGATCTTCAGTCCTGGTTTGAATTTCAGCCCTCTCACAGGACACACAATTGATGTGTTGCTGCTTCATGTTTACTTGAAAAACAAGAAACTTGAAGTTGTTCACAAATTTGGAAGTCCACTTCTAAAAAAGCAAGCTGCTTTGTCACCTTGGCTATATGGAATGAATCCAGTTTACAGTTTTTCTTTCACCTTAATACTCCAGCCACTCTGTCATATAAATACAGTTTGATGGAGAAATCTCACCACCTTCATGGCAATCATCAAAAACCTGGGAAAGAAAGCCCTGTGTCAGTGGAGTAATTATGTACATCAAGCATGACTGAACTAGAAGTAGCGTGGTCTTGTGTTTTCTGCTCCTTTCCCTGTAGAAAAACAGTAGTCTACCGCAGGACAAAGTATAGGAAGTCCAATACCAGTTCTGAGGAAGAATAATGTGAGCATAGCAAAGCAGAACAGACCCCACTGTAGTAAATGATGCAAACAGACATGCCTGGCAAGTTTCACCCACGTATCAGTTCAGGATCCATTTAGAAAAGACCAAAAGCTAAACAGAAGTTAGCTTGTTAAGATATAAATAGGTGGAAAAAAAACTCAGGATCAGATAAGAAGTTATATTTTGGAACAGGCTGGACTTGAAAGCACCCTGTTACATACAGTAAGGGAAAGAGACAGCATGTAAGTAGGAAACATCCTGGTCTAAACTAAAGACTGCCCCTTACATTAAGATGCTAAATGATACTCATGAGCATAGCTGGCTTAGAAATCCACAAGCAGCACTCACAGGCATAACCCTGATTTACACTGGCTGACCATTTAAAAGGTTTTACCCAAAATTTGCATGCATCCACATATTCACATACGGAATTTGTTACTTACCGGGCAGAGTCCGCAGGGTGTCCTGACTAACCCAGTAGGTTGTAGGAGAGGACTGACAGCTCTGTACAACTTCATCTGTCCATCCACGCTGCCTACCGTCCCTTCCTTTGCAGCAATAATTGTCATCTCCACTTTTCCATCATATATTAGTGTATTTAAAATGGTTTCAATGTCTTCCATTGACAATTCTACCTAAGAAACAGTAAAATAAATACAATAAAGATGTGCCAGTAAGTCCTACAAGGAGAAAATGAGATGAGAAAATGTTCCATAAGAACTCCAAATCCTTGGAGTTCTAACCTATCCCAGATGAAGACACATTTCTTACTGGGCACTTTATGGGGTTGTGCAGATACAAAAAGAAAAGCAAACAGGTGTCCTTCCTCCCAGGCACTTTTGAATTACACTAGCCTTGATTGGCTAAAAAAGATTTTCCTATGCGCCTCAAGTATCTGCATCAGCCTAGCATGGTACATTTCCAGTTTTACAGCAAAACAATTGTGGAAGAAGAAAAAGTCAGAAATACTGAAGATATGTCTGTTGATGGTGACCAGTAATGGCATTGTTTTGTCCTTCTAAAACTGTTTGAAGTGCATAGGCAAACTTGAAAGAAATTATAAAACATACCCCAGGTGAGTTTATTAAATGAAAACTAATTCCAGTTTCCATCTGCAAGGATGTGAACACTAATGTTTACACGTCTTTGAAAACCCACACATACACACTCTGCTAGGTTCCCATACAGCACCACTGACACTCCTCAAAAAGCAACAGAGCAGCAAAATCCACTTCCACATCAGTAACTGCAGGGTACTGAGGCACTTATCAGCCCCTTACCAGATTTGCAGGACCTAACTCCTGTACCTAGCCATGTACTGAGAATTTTGAGAGAATACAAATCTGTTCTGACCTTACTGATGCCCAGTTCACAGATGTACTTCCACACCTCATGGGATGATGCAAATGAGCTGTTCCTCTGTATCATGGGGTTCTGTTTGCTCTCTCGAGCTGCTTCTGCCTGAGGGAAAAAAACAAAGGCGATTTCTCATCAGTACTCATTGACAACAGCTTCCTTCACAGTTCAGTTTCAGGCAGACTGAAAAATAAAAGTTAGTTTGCAAACCATTTCTGGGACATTTTTTTTTTATTTAAAGTTATGTCCTCAAGATTGATATATGTGAGATAATGCAGTGCACATCCAAATGTAAGTTTCATGTCAGTTAGTGTAAAATTGCAGGGTAATTTAGATTGATATGAAGGAATATCAGCATCTGGTGTTTTGTTGACACAATGAAAAGTTCCTGCTGTACCTGTCACCTTGTTTATTTATTTAGCAGATAAATCTGCCTAGGACTTGTTTACTGGAGAACATGATTCTACAGTTAAGACTAAAGAAAATAGTCTTCCAGGCACAGCTGCCTGTCTAGAGCCTTTAGTCTCTCTGAAATAAGCATCCCTGAAGGAAAAAAAAAAATGCTGTTTTGTTTGGTCCTGTGTCCTTTGCTGCCTAGCTTGTCATTGGAGTTTGGAGGTAGGTTTCACTCCCTGTGAAGGGCGCAACAATATGCATTGTTAAAATGCAGTATCATCACACTTGCTGTGACAAACAAAAATCCAGCACAGATTTGCTGATCCAGTTAAAACAATGGGTAACACAGAAGACACAATGGAAAACTTAAGCCTTGTCCATCACTGGTTTTAGAAATAAAAGAATTACTTGCACAATACAAATGGAAAATTGGTTTAGCAGTGGCACTCACCTTACTCTGTAGAAACTTAAAACATTGTTGATTTAACACCTCCACAAATTCAGACTCGAAGTCTTGGTCACTGTACCAGGCCCCCCCAGTCACTGAGCGGTCAGGCTGCAGGTTATACAGCATGTACACCTTCTTTTTGGATGCCTGTTAGAGAAAAGTGCACGGCTCTTAACTGCTAAGAAAAGAAGATTTAACAAAGTATCTACAGAAGAAATGGTTTACTACACCTAAAATCTAGGGCACAGAACTGGCTCAAGCTCTCATTAATGTGTTTGACCCTTAGGTAACATGGACATAAAGAAAAGATTCATACATTTAGACTCCTCATCATTTTATAATATACTGTTAGAGAGACCATCCTACTAACAATGTTAGAGAGACCATCCTACTAACAATGCACACACAGTTCAAACATCACTGAAGATAATCTCCGAATTTAATTTTTAACCTAATTCCCCTCCACTGGCAAAGGAGGGCAGAAGAAGAGTATCTTTACAGGAACTTGATGTATTTATTACTTAATTAGATTATTAATCAGTTCATTAGTGGTATGCTCAATATTTAGCAAACATTATGGCCTCTTACATCTGGCACACCTCAAACATTCATTCTAAAGGTGGA